ATCTGCGATCACTCACCTTCCAAAAGATTCAAGAGTTTATGGAGGCGAGGGAAAAGGATAAAACGGATGCAGTGAAAATGGTCTTAGCATCCGAAGGAAAGCTAATGGGTATGGAGCTTTTACTGCGTAACTTGGGTGATGAAGCCCATTCCGATCAGATAATGTATTCCCTCAAAACGCATACGACTCTGGCAAAGCAAAGTTTTCCACCTAGCATTATAATACCTGGCATGGAAGGAACAGCTGGCCAAGCATGGTATAATATTGGAGCCAAGTTGAACAGCAGGGCGAATGTATTACAACTCCATCAGTTTGCACAGCTGGAGAGTATCAATGATATTGGTCAACAGACATTGGAGGTTAGTATATTACAGATTTCGATTTCTCGAATATATTTATGAATAAATCTTTAAAAAATAATCATCACTCTGTTGTTGTAGCATGTAAAAGCCCTACTGAAGCCCACACATCCATTCTACCTTATTGGATATTCTTATGGATCGTATGTGGCTCTTCAACTGGCCGCACTGCTGGAGCAATTGGGTTACCGTGGACATGTTCTTTTGATAGATGGTGCACCGCATTTCCTAACGAAACTTACGAACTTACATCTGGGAGAAAATTTCACAGATAACTCCCTGTATGACTTGCTGTTCTCAAGTATTGTCAATCAAATATTCCCAGAGGAAACTAAGGAGAGCGTATCTGCCGTTTTCCACAAGCTCGACACTCTCAAAGAGAAAATGAATGTATTCATGGAATATGTGGACAGACAGAATATCTACAGCAAAGACTACTCCAAAGTGATAATCGAGGCCTTATTCCGAAGGGTTAAAATGGCAGCGAAGTTCGATCTGAACAGCATAAGGGACTTGAAGTCTTCCATTATGTTAGTTCGTCCCGCAGAGGTTGCCTTACAGGATATCGAAGAAGATTATTGTGTTTCCCAGCTAACTTCTGGTAAAGTAACCCTAAAGGTCATCGAAGGTAATCACACTACCATGTTGGATAATCCAGTCCTACCTCAGATTATTAACGATTTTGATCCTGGACTATTAGATGACAAGAACTTTGAAGAGTATATTCGAGATGGTAAGCCAGTAGCCGTGGCCTAATATTCCCATTAAATAGTCTCTCTACTTTTACTTTTTCACTTTATCGCATTAAGGCTTGCATCAAATATTCTCATTGTAACGAAAATAAAACAAAACATGTTTTCTCACAAAATCCAATTTTAAATTCCTTCTTTAAATATAACCTACAAGAAGGCCTCTGGTTCACAGCGGTGGTCGGGACCCTGTTAGTTACAGTTAGTATTATTAGAGGGGAGTTGCTTATACCTACTTGACTGTCCCCTAAAATTTGCGGTATCTGAGCTGGTGATCGATCCTCGCTGTCTATAATCACCATGAATCTCTGAATGCGAGTTAAAAGAGATTCCCTAAAAATAAACCTATTACCTATTCTGAAGTTTATTTGCTAGCATCCTTCTTGTTTATCTTGTCTTCTAGAGTGGATATACTAATATGTAATATAAACTGGCATCGTAATCAAACATAATTTTCAAAAGGTGAATAGATTTTAAAAATACAACGTTGGTCATTTTAATAATTCATTTAAATCAATTACATTTTTTTTTGTATATAACTAAAACAATTTTATTTGTTTATTAACCCTTTAACTATTTGTTGTTCATGTCAACAGTGAATGTTTTTATACAGTTATTTTATTTTATTATTATTTAATTATTTTTGTAGATATTCACTTCCATTTTCAATTTTTCATTGACAAAATTCGTATTTAAATTAAAAAGTGTTAAGAAGTACGCATGGTGCGCATTTTGTAGACACCTATTCGAATTGAGTTACAAGTTAAGACCAAAGCTTGCTGTTGGTGCCATTTCGAATTAAGCTGAATTCTTAGCTTAGGCTTAAAGCTTAGGCTGCAATCTACGCTGGGCTTAAGCTCAAAGCTACGCTCAGCTAAAGCTGCAAGCTTAGCTTTCGATAAGCTTCAAGCTAAAGTCGGATAAAACTACAAGCTTAGCCCTTATAAAACTGCAAGCTTAAAGTTATATGTATATATATATGTAGGGAGGGGTTATTTATTATTATTATTTTTCTCTTCTTTTCTTTTATATTAATTTTACGTAAGGATTTAAGGGATAATTTTGTACATTTTTGCATGGATGGATAATAAAAAAAAAAATTGAACAAATTTTTGAACTGGCAGAACAATGCGCAGCAAAATTTTCAATTATATGTTTACATATGGCTATGCAGAGAAGTAAGTTAACACATAATTTTACAAAAACTTAATATAAAAAATTAAGTTTATGTATCACATACATTTCGATGCGATGAACGGAGTTCCAACTCTGGAATTTTCTTCTTGGTTTTTAAATGTGTTGATTTTATTTCTATTGCACTGAAACTTAATTCATTATTCTAAAATGGAAAAATAATTATGTGTATTTTTCTGCAATATGTTTTTTTTTGTGGGGATTATTAAGGTATTTTTGGTTGGTTTTATATTTATACTTATGTACATAAATATGTGTTGTATGTATTATTTTAAAAATGATTTTTGTAACTGGTATTTTAGGACTTTTAGTACGTGATGCTATTAATATGTATTAATATGTATGTCTCCGCCTCCAAGATTCCCGCATTTAAGAGCTACAGTTACCAAACATCGAATGTAGATTACTAAGATCGCCCTCCAACATCTTTTTTGCCACGCCCAAAGTTCTGAAAAGCCCATATCTCCCGCAATTTAAGAGTTACAGATACCAAAATTGTAAGGAAGATTACTAAGAACCATCTCGGTATTTTTTGGTTGCGCCCACTCTGCTCCTTGCTTCCGGTTATCAGCTGGTATTAGTTATGTTATCAAAGAATTTCTCAGTCGGTTACACCTGACTGCAACGTTCTCCGTTGTTCTTATTTTATACATTTGTGTGGTTTCTATAGTTTTTTGTTTATGCTTTCGATTTGTCTAAATGGTGTCTTATTTTCGATACAGTTGCCACGTTATTTTGACCATAAAAGAATTCTGGCAGACCTACGATTTTTTCTTCAACTAGCACTTTTTAAAAACTTAAATAAGTATTTTGCTGGGATCAGCTGACTTTTATAATCTAAAGCTTTTTTCTCAAAGCTCAGCTTTTTTACTTAGATGCACTGCTTTGTTTATTTATCGGCCGTTACAGCTCAGGCGACAAATTGATCGGAATCGGTTAACGCTGCAACTCTATATTTTCTTATGTTGCCTACTGACCATTAAAAGTAAAGGAGTATTGATGAACTTGATCCAAGTCATCAAATATATCTCGAGTGAATATTTAAACAATACTCGTTTATTTAGTATAAGCATAATCAAAATAATTACTACTTATTCGAATAACCAAACACATTCGAGCCATACAATTTTGAGTAAAGGTTGGAAAATTACGAAATGTGGCCAACTATTATGAGTCAATTTGGAACCAGTTACAGAAAATTAAAAAGTGTAGAAATGAAATGTAAAACGAGTTTAATCAACACAAATTTCAATCCATATTTAGAAAATACTTAAATGTCGCTGGCTCATGTTTAACGGGGAGTTTTTAGTGCCTGCAGCACCGTTTGCTGGAGCAACTGCATCTTATGGTAGCTGGCAACGTTATTAAATGTGTTGAGGAGCGTTTCAATCTCTTTGCCACTGATTAGGGGCACGAAATTGCCAGCACAGGTGCAGAACTCAGCGAGATTTTCGCGTTTGATTTCGTTGCAGCGCACACAGCGCAGATCCTGGAGCACATAGGACATCACTTTGCGCTGCAGCACATCAATCATGCGCATCTCTATCTCCTCATTGTCGTAGGCTACATAGCACTGGGCGCATAGCCAAACAGGACTGCAACCAAATCAAATAACATTTATAAGTTGATATGTAATTATGAGAACGGCTGCACCACTCACATGCCATCCTTCAGGGCGCGCTGTTTGTCCTTGCAGAGATCCAGGTCGCGACAATGATTGCACGCCTTGCAGATGACCTCGTTGATTATGTGCGTATCACACGGATCTGTCCAGTCGGCCAGATCGGAGAACTCACCCACGTCCTCACTTCTCGCCTGACTCTGACGCAACGTTGTGTTGCCCGCCGCAATTGAGGTGACCGTCTCATCAATGCCCTTGGGCAATTTGCCTCGAATGCCGAAGAAATTGGACTGATCCAGCCAGAGCATAAAATTCCAACACTGCTCAAAGCTCAGCTGCATGGAATGGAACATTTCCTTGTTGCGCAAACTCTGCACAACATAATCAACATAGCCCAGCGCATCCGACACCGACTTCTTGACCGAGCTGAGTATGATCCGATTGAAGTCCGCATAGACAATGGTGGCGCCCAGACGCTTGAACTCGGCAATGATACGCAGAAACATTTTGCGCAACAGATTGCTGAAGGATCTGCGCCGTTCCCTTGAGCACGTCTGACTTACGCAAAGCGTACTGCATTAGCCACACAATTGCACATTTTCTTCGATTTAGAGTACAACGTTGTACTTGAATATTTATAATTTTTATACCGAAACTAAAATACATTAAGTCAACTGCAACGACTACACATATCTATCGATGCACACATTTTTATACTAAAAATGTAAAAGCATTTGACATCACAGTGCACGGCAAAATCAATTGCTTAATTAATTTGGAATTCGTTGACTTTCTTGCTGGGAAGAGTATCTGGTCAAAGTATTCACCACTTTTATTCCTTTTTTGACTTTGTGATATGCCCTTCGTAATAAGTGTATAAAAGCAGCTAGTGGGTAAGGTATGGGTTTAATTGCTGTTTGTCTGGCAATTCGTTCGCTTTCTCTCGCTGGATTACATTTCGGAACGAAACGCAAACTTTAACCATATTGTGATATATATCTTAGTGTACAAGTGAAATCAAGCCTGTCGAAGGACGTTTAATAAATTATAACATTACCTCTATTACAAATCAAGTGTTTAAAACTCAAAGATATGGCTTCTGACATGGCAAAAAAGAATAAAAAATACTCTAGATCGCGTCCTGATACAGATGGCGATGATATTGTTATTTCTGGAATGGCTGGGAAATTTCCCAATTGCAAAAATATCTCCGAATACGAGTACAATCTTTACAACAAGGTTTGCAATCGCACAATCGATTTAAATAAAAATGCTTATGTGGAATTACTTCAATTCAAAAAATTACAACACAAGTTTGAAATGGAAACAAGTTATATTTATTACAACAATCAACAATTACCACTTAATTCAACAAGATACACGACATTCGTTAAATAATATTTTAATACGGAATTAACTGATAAAAACAATGATTTGTGTAGTTCATATTAATCTGGAATAATATATATTTCTTGATTAATTCAAGTGACTCTAAAAATTTATAAATATTTCCAAAAAGGTTAATTAAGTCATTACCAGATAATATAATATATAAAATTTATAGATTATATATTATAATTTACTGAACTTAATTCCACAATATACGAGACTTTCATTTTATAATATTTTTTATTTTAATATGAAAATATCTTTCGGAAACTACGATCTGTGTATTTTAAATTTATGTGGAAATATAATATATATAATTCTTGAACAATTCTTCCCTTTAAGTTAATACAAATATTTCCAATTTAAAACGGTCAAAAGATTAATCCAAATTCAATAATTTGAGTGACTTTCTTTTCCTAATTTTATAAAACAGAAATATCTACAATTTGTATATTTAATTTTTAGTCGTTAAACATTTTTTTCAACATTTTCATTTAATAATTGCAAGACAGTGTAAAAAAAAAATGTTGGGTGAGCAAAAATTTAATATTATAATTAAATATAATGTTATTTAGTCAGTCTCCATTTTTCTTATAAACAACTAGAATGATTTTCAATCTTAAAAACTAAAGAGTTATTAATAATATCGATTACATAATTGGCCATTCTGATTCACGCTAATATTGTTTCATCAGATTGACATGGTAGATGACGATGAGCGTCGTTGGCGTCATTTTAATCCTGAGATTCCCAAGCGATTTGGTAAAATCAGCAATCTGGAAAAGTTCGATGCAACATTCTTTGGGGTACACTTCAAGCAAGCGCATACTTTGGATCCGCAAACACGAATTTTGATAGAGACAGCGTACGAAGCTGTCATTGATGCAGGTATCAATCCGAAAAGCCTGCGTGGTACGAAAACTGGCGTCTATATCGGATCTTGTATATCTGAGTCAGAGAAAACTTGGTTCTATGAGAAGGTTTCGTCAGGGGGTTTTGGCATCACCGGCTGCAGTCGCGCAATGCTGGCCAATAGGATTTCGTACACCCTGGGCTTAGAGGGCCCGTCCTTTTTGCTTGACACGGCTTGCTCCAGTTCAATGTATGCCTTGGATAATGCATTTAGTGCAATTCGAAATGGTGAAATTGACGCTGCAATTATTGGCGGTTCCAATTTGTTGTTGCATCCCTTTGTGACCCTTCAATTTGCTCGGTAAGCAGCTCTTCGCTTGTCATCACTATTGCTTTTGTAAAATACTCATATTTCATGTTTCAGACTCGGTGTTTTGGCGCAGGACGGTTACTGTCGTCCATTTGACAAAGATGCAAGCGGATACACTCGCTCTGAGACAATTAACTGCCTATTCCTTCAGAGGAAAAGAGATGCGAAACGCATCTACGCAAGTGTTGTTTATTCGAAAACCAACTGTGATGGATACAAGCCGGAGGGTATTACCTATCCATCAGGAAATGTTCAAAGAAAACTACTATTGGAATTCTACAAGGAAATTGATCTAACACCAAATGACTTGGGTTACCTGGAAGCACATAGCACTGGCACCGTTGTGGGTGATCCCGAAGAGTGCAAGGCGATTGATAGTGTGCTGTGTAGCCAGCGTCAGGATCCACTTCTTGTGGGCTCTGTCAAATCAAATATTGGACATTCGGAACCTACCTCTGGTATCTGTTCACTGGTGAAAGCGTGCTTTGCTTTCGAAACTGGCCTAATAGCACCCAATATTAACTTTACCGAGGTGAAACCAACAATAACGGCACTGGCGGAGGGACGTTTAGTTGTGGTTAAGGATGTCACTCCTCTGCCAAAGCCATGTATCGGAGTTAATTCGTTCGGGTTTGGTGGCGCCAATGCACATGCCATTCTTAAAGCACATCCGAAGTCAAAGGTAAACTATGGAATACCTGAGGATAATCTGCCCAGGATTGTGACATGGGCTGGCAGAACGGAGGATGCTGTCAATGAGATTTTCAATGGGATTGAGAAGAAACCGTTGGATGCCGAGTTCATTGGACTGTTGCAGAATATACAAGAGGAAGAAGTATCCGGCATGGTATTTCGAGGATATGGCATATTCGGCAATAACGGCAACCAACCAACAAAATCTTTGGTTAGGAATGTTCAGCATTACACTGGCCTTAAGCGGCCCATTGTCTGGGTATTCAGCGGCATGGGTTCACAGTGGAACGAAATGGGAGCATCATTGATGATGATTCCACGCTTCCGGCAATCCATTGAAATCTCCCACAATACATTAGTCCCGAAAGGCCTCGACCTCATTAATATCCTCACTTCGAACGATCCTGCAATTTACGAGAATATTTTGCACTCTTTTGTCGGCATAGCCTCTGTACAAATTGGTCTGACTGATATTCTCCGTTCACTAAACTTGGAACCCGATTTTATTATTGGACATTCCGTTGGAGAATTGGGTTGCGCCTACGCAGATGGAGGAGTAACGGCTGAACAAATGATACTAGCTGCTTATTGTCGTGGTCGAGTCAGTATGGAGTCTAAAATCAGAGGTGGTATGGCAGCTGTGGGCATTGGGTATAGGGCAATTAAGAACTTGCTGCCGGAAGCCATTGAAGTCGCCTGCCACAATAGTGCCGACTCCTGCACCATCTCGGGACCCATTGATGAAGTTCGACGATTCGTCGCAGAACTAAAATCAAAAGATATCTTTGCAAAGGAAGTGCCATGCTCGAATATTGCATATCATTCAAGATATATTGCATCTATGGGACCCCAATTGTTAAAATATTTGAAGGAGATAATCACACAGCCAAAGACTAGGACAGCCAAGTGGCTGAGTACCAGTGTGCCGAGGAGTGAATGGGAACAAACTGAAAATAAATTGTGCTCTGCCGAATACCATACCAATAATCTGCTGCACAGTGTACTCTTCGAGGAGACTTTTCCAGAACTACCCAAGAATGCATTGACTATTGAGATTGCTCCACATGGTTTATTGGGCGCCATCCTAAAGCGATCTATGCCTAATGGTGTTTATATACCACTAACCCATCGAGGAAACAAAAACAATGCGCTCTTCTTTATGACCGCACTTGGCAAGTAAGTAACGCGTTCAAATATTGAATATTAATATAAATGTATTAACTTGTAATCATTTTATTGCAGATTATATGAAAATGGTGTTATGGTGCCGGTGGCCAACTTATATCCCAAAGTTGAATTCCCTGTTTCACGATCAACTCCGGGCATTAGTTCACTCGTCCGTTGGGATCACAGTGAAGATTGGTTTGTGACGAAGTATGAGAATATGAAGACTAAGGCCAGTGTAGAGCGCGTTTTCCTTATTAACTTGGCCAGTGATGATGAAGAGTTTATGGGTGGTCACATTATTGATGGTAAAATTCTCGTACCCGCTACTAGCTATTTACAATACGTTTGGGAGACGTTCTCTCTAATCCATCATGGGCCAAGTTACATGGATATTCCAGTCGAATTTGAGGAGGTGCAATTCCTGAGAGCCACAAATATGTCAGTTAATGGAGAAGTTGAACTGAATGTTATGATTAACTATGGCAGCGGCCACTTTGAGGTAGACTAAATTCGTTATTCTTATGCAACTCTTAATACATCTGAGTATATAAATATATTGATTTCAGATAACTGAAGCGGGTAGCTTGGTAGTTACAGGTAATATAAGAGAGATTGAGAAGCCACTCGCACCGGAAATATATAATTTCCAGAACGAATCGAAATTCCCGATGGTTGCCAAAAAAGATTTCTACAAGGAATTAAGACTACGTGGATACCATTATAATGGAGCGTTCCGAGCCGTTCGCAGCGCTCGAACGGATGGATTATATGGAACGGTTGAATGGGACTATAACTGGGTGACATTTATGGACGCAATGCTACAAATTCAGATATTGGGCACAGATTCGCGCTCCCTCTTGCTCCCAACGAAAATTCGTAAGCTGCGTATAAATGGGGTCCATCATTTCAATATGATAAACAAAATAGATCCCGAGAACCGAGTTATTGATGTTTATGTGGATCATAAGAATAATCGCATTGTAGCAGGTGGCATTGAAGTGATTGGACTTCATGCCAGTCCGGTTCAAAGGCGCAAACCTCCCGGCATTCCAGTATTGGAACAGTACGAATTTTTGCCCTATTTGCCAGCACCAGAAATGACTCTATCAAATGCAGCACGAATATGCGTACAACTTGCCTTGGAAAACATGTCGATATCGAAGGTAAAACTCGTGGAAGTTGACACCGATGGAAGAGACACCGTTTTGACCAAGTTTATCGATGCTATTGAGGACTTACCGATTGTTACTGGAGAGTACATGTATTTGACCGACAGAAAGATTGATGAAATCCCTGGCATACATATCGAAAATGGGAAGGTGGAAAATCTATCCAATTACCATTTCATTGTAGCCGGTGGAACTCGTGGAGATCTCAACGAGGATGTGATTATGAATGCCCAAAAGGTTCTGGTAGATAACGGCTACTTATTGCTTAGAGAACGACCCACGACAAACATAAGCAACTTAAAACTGCCCGAACAATTCCACTTGATCACGGTCATTCCAATAGACAACAATGAGGAAGTCTTCGTACTACTCCAGAATATCTCCAAGAAATTGCAATTGCAGCCGACTGTCGTCAAAGTTTCTGATAGCGACATGAAGTTTGAGTGGATAAGTCAGGTGCAGTCTGCCATTAGTATGAAGAGTGCTGTTGTTGCCTACGCTTTCAATGAGAAACACAATGGTCTGGTTGGATTAGTGAATTGCTTGCGAAAGGAGCCCGATGGCAACTTGGTCACCTGTTTCTATATTGATGATCCGAAAGCACCCGAGTTTAACTTAGCAGATCCATTTTATTCCAGCCAATTTGCACTGGGCCTGGCTTTCAACATATATCGCCATGTAAGTATATATATATATGTGAACTTAAATATTTCATAATAGCCCGACAACTTGTGTAGGGAACTTGGGGAAGTCTCAGGCATCTGAATCTGCCCGTTAATGATGAGGTCAAACCCAGACTAGATCACATTTATGGAAATGTGATTCAGCGCGGAGATTTGTCGTCATTGCGCTGGTTTGAGGGACCTCTTGATCCAGAAGACTGTATCATTAAGATCGCATACTCATCGCTCAACTTCAGAGACGTAATGCTGGCAACTGGTCGACTGGCAACTGAATTATACGGTTCTAACCGAATCGATCAAAGTTGTGTGCTTGGATTTGAATACTCCGGCATCAATATGCAAACCGGTCGACGAATTATGAGCATGGTTGTTAAGGGAGGTGTCGCTTCATATGTGGATAAGCCATCGAAGCTTATTTGGAACATTCCCGACCACTGGTCGCTGCAGGACGCTGCTACGGTGCCAGTAGTTTATATAACCGTATATTACGCATTCTTTATGGCAACCGACATTCGCAAAGGAAAGAGCATACTTATACACGCCGGAACAGGAGGAATTGGCCTGGCAGCAATTCGCGTGGCATTGGCCTACAATTTGGATGTGTATACCACATGCAGTACTCCACTGAAGAAGAAATTCCTCTTGGACACCTTCCCACAGCTGGAAGGTATGTAAGCTGTGTCACGTATTGGTTTACTGCTCAAAAATAAAAGAGATTTCACGTTTTAGAATCGCACATTGGCAATTCTCGAGACACGTCCTTTGAGCAAATGATACAGTGTGAAACCGATGGAAAGGGTGTTGACTTTGTGCTGAATTCACTCTCAGAAGACAAGCTACTGGCGTCGGTGCGCTGTCTTGGGCAGTCGGGCCACTTCCTCGAGATTGGCAAATTCGATATGGCCAATGATACCAAGCTCGGCTTGGGCTGTTTCCTCAAAGAGCTCACCTTCCATGCGGTGCTGGCGGATAGGCTGTTGGGGGCACCCGATGATCATATAATTTTAGTAATTATTTTTTGTACAATTTTGTTACTCCGATTTATTGATAATCTAATAAAATCTCATTTTGCTTGCAGCACTTGAAGAAACTCATTGACATGGATATTTCCAGTGGCATAATACAACCATTGCCAGTCACAGTGTTTCCGGCTAATGAGATTGAGAAGGCCTTCAGACATTTGATTGGTGGCAAGCATATTGGCAAGGTCATAATTAAAGTGCGTGATAACCCGGAAGCAGCCGAAACTCTGCCAGTACGTGTCCAAAGCCAAATCTACTTTAAGCCCCATATGACTTATGTCATTCCGGGTGGTTTGGGTGGATTCGGCTTGGAATTAGCCGATTGGATGTGCTTGCGTGGTGTCCGCAAACTAGTGCTCAGCTCCAGCCGTGGCATTACCAAGGACTATCAGTCCTTTCGAATTGCGTATGTATTTGCTTATTTCAATTGGATTAACTGTAAACATCTTAATAATTTTGCGGTCGCTCTCTCTAACTCGCAGGCTTTGGAAGAATTACGGCTGTGAAGTTGTAGTCAACACAGCAGATATATCAACAGTTGAGGGCTGTCGCAATCTCTTGGTGGAGGCTGCTAAACTGGGTTCAATTGGCGGTATTTTCAATCTAGCAGTTGCCCTACGTGACGGCATCTTTGCCAGTCAAAATATGGAGCAATTTGTGCAAAGCTTTTCGCCAAAAGCGGTTGCCACCAAACATTTGGATGCATTATCCCGCACCTTGTGCCCAGAGCTGGACCATTTCGTAGTATTCTCAAGTGTGTCCTGTGGTCGTGGAAATGCTGGACAAACCAATTATGGCATGGCCAATTCTGTCATGGAGCGTATCATCGAGGGCCGCAGCCGGGATGGTCTGCCAGCCAAGGCCATTCAATGGGGTGCTGTGGGCGAGGTGGGATTAGTCGCCGATATGGCCGAAGATAAAATTGACTTGGAAATCGGGGGAACGCTGCAGCAAAGAATCTCATCATGCCTACAGGAACTGGACACACTACTAAGTGCGAAATCGGCCGTTGTAGCCAGTATGGTTGTTGCCGAAAAGCGCTCAGGTCGTTCCGGAAATGAAAGTATTATCGATACGGTAATGCACATAATGGGTATACGCGACTTAAAGTCTGTCTCGCTGGGCACAACACTGTCCGAAATGGGCATGGACTCACTCATGTCCGTTGAAATCAAGCAAACGCTTGAACGTGACTTTGAACTCGTATTGACTCCTCAGGATCTGCGGTCACTCACCGTCCAAAAGCTGCAAGAGATTATGGAGGCAAGGGAAAAGGATAATTCGGATGCGGAGAAAATGGTCTTAGCATCCGAAGGAAAGCTTATGGGTATAGAGCTTTTACTGCGTAACTTAGGAGATGAAGCCCATTCCGATCAGGTAATGTATTCCCTCAAAACGCATACGACACTGGCAAAGCAAAGTTTTCCACCTAGCATTATAATACCTGGCATAGAAGGAACAGCTGGCCAAGCATGGTATAATATTGGAGCCAAGTTGAACAGCAGGGCGAATGTATTACAACTCCATCAGTTTGCACAGCTGGAGACTATCAATGATATTGGTCAACAGACATTGGAGGTTAGTATCTTACAGATTTCGATTTTTCGAATATATTTATGAATAAATCTTTAAAAAATAATCATCACTCTGTTGTTGTAGCATGTAAAAGCCCTGCTGAAGCCCTCACATCCATTCTACCTTATTGGATATTCTTATGGATCGTATGTGGCTCTTCAACTGGCCGCACTGCTGGAGCAATTGGGTTACCGTGGACATGTTCTTTTGATAGATGGTGCACCGCATTTTATAACGAAACTGGCGAACTTACATCTGGGAGAAAATTTCACAGATAACTTCCTGTATGACTTGCTGTTCTCGAGCATTGCCAATTATATATTCCCCGAGGAAACTAAGGAGAGCATATCCGCCGTTTTCCACAAGCTCGACACTCTCAAGGAGAAAATGGATTTATTCATGAAATATGTGGACAAACAGAATATCTACAGCAAAGACTACTTCAAAGTGATGATCGAGGCCTTATTCCGAAGGGTTAAAATCGCAGCGAAGTTCGATCTGAACAGCATAAGGGACTTGAAGTCTCCCATTATGTTAGTCCGTCCCACAGAGGTGTCTCTAAATGATATCGAAGAAGATTATTGTGTTTCCCAGCTAACTTCTGGTAAAGTAACCTTAAAGGTCATCGAGGGCAATCACTCTACAATGTTGGATAATCCAGTCCTACCTCAGATTATTAACGATTGTGATCCTGGACTATTAGATGACAAGAACTTTGATGAGTATATTCGAGATGCTAAGCCAGTAGCCGTGGCCTAACATTCCCATTAAATAGTCTCTCTACTTTTACTTTTTCACTTTATCGCATTAAGGTTTGCATCAAATATTCTCATTGTAACGAAAATAAAACAAAACATGTTTTCTCACAAAATCCAATTTTAAATATGATAGACAGTTGTTTTTATTATCAACTTGCTTAAACATCGATTCGGGTGAATGATTTGAAATTTATGAACGCTCTTAACTGATTAGCAAATGGCACAGACCGTATATTTATTTGACGACGACAGATCGTTGAACTTTGTCAACTCAAGTTGTAGTTTTCAATCTGTCTTTTGTAAGGAATTCCCTAGAATATAAAATTCTTTCTTTAAATATAACCTACAAGAAAGCCTCTGGTTCACAGCGGCGGTCGGGACCCTGTTAGTTACAGTTAGTATTATTAGAGGGGAGTTGCTTATACCTACTTGACTGTCCCCTAAAATTTGCGGTATCTGAGCTGGTAATCGATCCTCGCTGTCTATAATCACCATGAATCTCTGAATGCGAGTTAAAAGAGATTCCCTAAAAATAAACCTATTACCTATTCTGAAGTTTATTTGCTAGCATCCTTCTTGTTTATCTTGTTTTCTAGAGTGGATATACTAATATGTAATATAAACTGGCATCGTAATCAAACATAATTTTCAAAAGGTGAATAGATTTTAAAAATACAACGTTGGTCATTTTAATAATTCATTTAAATCAATTACATTTTTTTTTGTATATAACTAAAACAATTTTATTTGTTTATTAACCCTTTAACTATTTGTTGTTCATGTCAACAGTGAATGTTTTTATACATAATAGATTTGGTTCTGATTTTATTTTTATTGTTTTACATAGTAAAGCTGGACTTTTGTTGTTTATTTTTGAATAAAACAAAAGTTTTTGATTATTGTTTATAATTTTTTTATGGTAGATATTTTATTTTTTTAGTAGATATTCACTTCCATTTTCAATTTTTCATTGACAAAATTCGTATTTAAATTAAAAAGTGTTAAGAAGTACGCATGGTGCGCATTTTGTAGACACCTATCCGAATTGAATTACAAGTTAAGACCAAAGCTTGCTGTTGGCGCCATTTCGAATTAAAGCTTATGCTAAAAGCTACGCTCGGCTTAAGCTCAAAGTTACGCTCGGCTAAAGCTGCAAGCTTAGCTTTCGATAAGCTTCAAGCTAAAGTCGAACAAAACTACAAGCTTAGCCCTTATAAAACTGCAAGCTTAAAGTTATATATGTATATATATATAGGGAGGGGTTATTTATTAGTGCATTTTTCTCTTCTTTTCTTTTATATTAGTTTTACGTAAGGATTTAAGGGATCATTTTGTACATTTTTGCATGGATGGATAATAAAAAAATAATTGAACAAATTTTTGAACTGGCAGAACAATGCGCAGCAAAATTTTCATTTATATGTTTACATATGGCTATGCACAGAAGTAAGTGAACACATAATTTTACAAAAAACTTAATATAAAAAATTAAGTTTATGTATCACATACATTTCGATGCGGTGAAAGGAGTTCCAACTCTGGAATTTTCTTCTTGGTTTTTAAATGTGTTGATTTTATTTCTATTTCACTGAAACTTAATTCATTATTCTAAAATGGAAAAATAATTATGTGTATTTTTCTGGTATATGTTTTTTTGTGGGGATTATTAAGGTATTTTTGGTTGGTTTTATATTTATACTTATGTACATAAATATCTGTTGTATGTATTATTTTAAAAAAGATTTTTGTAACTGGTATTTTAGGACTTTTAGTACGTGATGCTATTAATATGTATTAATATGTATGTCTCCGCCTCCAAGATTCCCGCATTTAAGAGCTACAGTTACCAAACATCGAATTACTAAGATCGTCCTCCAACATCTTTTTTGCCACGCCCAAAGTTCTCAAAACCCATATCTCCCGCAATTTAAGAGTTACAGATACCAAAATTGTAAGGAAGATTACTAAGAACCATCTCGGTATTTTTTGGCTGCGCCCACTCTGCTCCTTGCTTCCGGCTATCAGCTGGTATTAGCTATGTTATCAAAGAATTTCTCAGTCGGTTACGCCTGACTGCAACGTCCTCCGTTGTTCTTATTTTATACATTTGTGTGGTTTCTATAGTTTTTTGTTTTTGCTTTCGATTTGTCTAAATAGTGTCTTATTTTCGATACAGTTGCCACGTTATTTTGACCATAAAAGAATTCTGGCAGACCTACGATTTTTTCTTCAACTAGCACTTTTCAAAAACTTAAGGAAGCGTTTTGCTGGGATCAGCCGACTTTTATAATTTCTTTCGGTGCAGCTCCAGCTGCCGGAAGCCAAGTGTAGACAACCAAATTGGCTGCGTTATAAAAGCTGACTTAAACGATCTATCGCCGGTAGGGTAACCTTCAGTATGCTCCGTTTGCGCTAAAGCTTTTTCTCAAAGCTCAGCTTTTTTACGCGCTTAGATGCACTGCTTTGTTTATGTATCGGCCGTTACAGCTCAGGCGACAAATTGATCGGAATCGGTTAACGCTGCAACTCTATATTTTCTTATGTTGCCTACTGACCATTAAAAGTAAAGGAGTATTGATGAACTTGATCCAAGTCATCAAATTTATCTCGAGTGAATATTTAAACAATACTCGTTTATTTAGTATAAGCATAATCAATATAATTACTACTTATTCGAATAACCAAACACATTCGAGCCATACAATTTAGAGTAAAGGTTGAAAATTACGAAATGTGGCCAACTACTGAGTCAATTTGGAACCAGTTACAGAAAATTAAGAGTGTAGAAATGAAATGTAAAACGAGTTTAATCAACACAAATTACAAACCATATTTAGAAAATACTTAAATGTCGCTGGCTCATGTTTAACGGGGAGTTTTTAGTGCCTGCTGCACCGTCTGCTGGAGCAACTGCATCTTATGGTAGCTGGCAACGTTATTAAATGTGTTGAGGAGCGTTTCAATCTCCTTCCCACTGATTAGGGGCACAAAATTGCCAGCACAGGTGCAGAACTCGGCGAGATTTTCGCGTTTGATTTCGTTGCAGCGCACACAGCGCAGATCCTGGAGCACATAGGACATCACTTTGTGCTGCAGCACATCAATCATGCGCATCTCTATCTCCTCATTGTCGTAGGCTACATAGCACTGGGCGCATAGCCAAACAGGACTGCAACCAAATCAAATAACATTTATAAGTTGATATGTAATTATGAGAACGGCTGCACCACTCACATGCCATCCTTCAGGGCGCGCTGTTTGTCCTTGCAGAGATCCAGGTCGCGACAATGATTGCACGCCTTGCAGATGACCTCGTTGATTATGTGCGTATCACACGGATCTGTCCAGTCGGCCAGATCGGAGAACTCACCCACGTCCTCACTTCTCGCCTGACTCTGACGCAACGTTGTGTTGCCCGTCACAATTGAGGTGACCGTCTCATCAATGCCCTTGGGCAAACAATGGTGGCGTCAGACGCTTCAACTCGGCAATGACACGAAGAAACATCAGATTGCTGAGGGATCTGCGCCGTTCCCTTGAGCACGTATGACTTATGCAAAGCGTACTGCATTAGCCACACAATTGCACATTTTCTTCGATTTAGAGTACAACGTTGTACTTGAATATTTATAATTTTTATACCGAAACTAAAATACATTAAGTCAACTGCAACGACTACTCATATCTATCGATGCACACATTTTTATACTAAAAATGTAAAAGCATTTGACGCCACAGTGCATGGCAAAATCAATTGCTTAATTAATTTGGAATTCGTTGACTTTCTTGCTGGGAAGAGTATCTGGTCAAAGTATTCACCACTTTTATTCCTTTTTTGACTTTGTGATATGCCCTTCGTAATAAGTGTATAAAAGCAGCTAGTGGGTAAGGTATGGGTTTAATTGCTGTTTGTCTGGCAATTCGTTCGCTTTCTCTCGCTGGATTACATTTCGGAACGAAACGCAAACTTTAACCATATTGTGATATATATCTTAGTGTACAAGTGAAATCAAGCCTGTCAAAGGACGTTTAATAAATTATAACATTACCCCTAGTACAAATCAAGTGTTTAAAACTCAAAGATATGGCTTCTGACATGGCAAAAAAGAATAAAAAATACTCTAGATCGCGTCCTGATACAGATGGCGATGATATTGTTATTTCTGGAATGGCCGGGAAATTTCCCAATTGCAAAAATATCTCCGAATACGAGTACAATCTTTACAACAAGGTTTGCAATCGCACAATCGATTTAAATAAAAATGCTTATGTGGAATTACTTCAATTCAAAAAATTACAACACAAGTTTGAAATGGAAACAAGTTATATTTATTACAACAATCAACAGTTAACACTTAATTCAACAATATACAAGACATTCGTTAAATAATATTTTAATACGGAATTAACTGATAAAAACAATGATTTGTGTAGTTCATATTTATCTGGAATAATATATATTTCTTGATTAATTCAAGTGACTCTAAAAATTTATAAATATTTCCAAAAAGGTTAATTAAGTCATTACCAGATAATATAATATATAAAATTTATAGATTATATATTATAATTTACTGAACTTAATTCCACAATATACGAGACTTTCATTTTATAATATTTTTTAATATTTCAATATGAAAATATCTTTCGGAAACTACGATCTGTGTATTTTAAATTTATGTGGAAATATAATTTATATATTTCTTGAACAATTCAACCCTTTAAGTTAATACAAATATTTCCAATTTAAACCGGTCAAAAGATTAATCCAAATTCAATAATTTGAGTGACTTTCTTTTCCTAATTTTATAAAACAGAAATATCTACAATTTGTATATTTAATTTTTAGTCGTTAAACATTTTTTTCAACATTTTCATTTAATAATTGCAAGACAGTGTAAAAAAAAATGTTGAGTGAGCAAAAATTTAATATTATAATTAAATATAATGTTATTTAGTCAGTCTCCATTTTTCTTATAAACAACTAGAATGATTTTCAATCTTAAAAACTAAAGAGTTATTAATAATATCGATTACATAATTGGCCATTCTGATTCACGCTAATATTGTTTCATCAGATTGACATGGTAGATGACGATGAGCGTCGTTGGCGTCATTTTAATCC